CAGCAAAAAATTAATCTCTTCACTTAATTTGCAAAAATAATTTTCTTATTATTGCCATATATTTTTTTCCATATTTTTCTACTACTTAATGGATATCTTGCCACTAGATAAAAAAATAAAAATAATATAAAAACATAACAAAATCAGTTTAATAAAATAATAAAAATTAAAAAGATAACGTAAATGATAAAAGTTGAATTGTTTACCTATGTCAAAACACTTTCTAGTCCGTCCAGACATAACATACATAGTTATGAATGTATACATATACCTACCTATATATATAGATATTCAAAGATATGTACCTGCTAAAAATTAATATGTCCTTTGTCATTTATATTGCTTCTTTTCTTAGGGGAGAGAATACTCTGCTTCGAATTTGGCGCTTACTCTCAGAGATTTACATACACATGTATGTGTGCATGTTTGAACATATATACACACACGCACATATATACAATAAAAACACTCGTCACTCACCTACACACACATAGAGAGAGAGAGAGCAGCAGCGTTATTCGTAAAAAGGTTTTTATTATGTCGTCTTTTTTCTTTCTATTTTTTATATAGATTTTAATTTCGTTGTTCGGCCTTATCGATTTTTTTCCTTTGCCACTTCCTGTTTGTTGATTTCCATTTCCATTTACATGTCTTCTGGGGTGAGCCGGGGATGGATGGGGGTGGAAGTAAGCTGCGTACTCGTAAGAAACGTCTGGCGTCTGGCTCGAGGCTGTTATATATATATATATATATATATATACATGTGAGTGTGCGTGTGTGTATTTGTCATTGCTGTATCGGCCACACCCATTGCGCCAATTAAAACCGTTTTAAAAGGCTAGTGACAAAAAAAGCAGGCAGAAGAAAAAAATTCGCCACAGAATCTGCTTGAAAATGTCTCAGGGGATTTTTGCACAGCTTTGTTTTAATTGGCTAAGGGACTCCAGCCAACCAGCTAAATATAAATATACATAAATACATATATACACACATATATATGTGTATATAAACATATGTGCTGGTTTAGCTTTTGTGCCGTTGGTTAATTGCTTGCGCTTCTAATTAGTCAATCAGGGCGCAACGTGTTCCTCCCCATTTTTGTATTCTTTTTTTTTTTTGGCGAGGCGATAACGAATCAGCAGCAGCAGCCAGCAGCCAACAGCAGCCAGCCAGTAACACAAGTAGACAAAAACAACAAGAACATGTGACGACTGCTGACTGGACGGGGTCGGCAAAGGAGCAATTAACTCAGCCATATACAAATACAAGCACACTTTAGCACACACAACCGCACACGAAGGAGCGTAGCGGAAAGAGGAAGGCAAGAAAGACACTCGCGCAAAGAGCGACTTCAGTCAGCAGCGACAGAGCAGCGCTACAGATTAAGGAGGTAGTAATAACAGCAGCAGAGCATCAGCAGCAGACCTAACAGCAGCAGCAATAGCAGCAGACTTAACAGCAGCAGACTTGACAACAGCAGCGAACATAATAAATGTATGTAAGCAGCGACAGCGAACAGCACGCAGCGTGCAAAAGCAGCGAACAGCCCGAAAAAAAACAAAAACAAAGCGCACATGAGCATGCACGAAAATATTGTTATTGTGACACAGCGCCAACACCGGCAATGCATGGATGGATGAGCTGCTGTTGGCAGGGGGAGGGGGATAGGGGCCGCACGATGCGCGATGCGCAACGACCAATCAAGAAGCGAGACAACTTTGACTGTTGCTTTACTCTTCTACGCTGGCGAGGGGGAAGGGGAAGTGTGGTGGGGGCGCTTATAGACATGCTCTCCACAGCATGCAAAAAGATGAAAGAGCGCGTAAAGCAAACAATCGAAGAAAAAAATAACGATTCTCTTTAATGCTCAATGTGTGTGTGTGAAAGAAAGAGAGAGAGAGAGAGAGAGAGAGAGAGAGAGAGAGAGAGAGAGAGAGAGGGGAGAGAAAGAGAGGCAGTGAGGTCAGCTTAATAACTTAGATTACGCTCGCTCAACAAAAGCAAAAATATTTCACAGCCAGCAGCAACATCAACAACAGCTGCCCCGTCATTGGCTAATTAGAGTTCGGCATTAATTAACGTCGTGTTAACAATAACAAAAAACGGTTGATTTGGCGTAGGCAGCAAATGCTCCTAAAACTCTTTTTAATTGGTTACCAAAAATATTGGCGGCATACAAGCGAATAGTATATATACTTATACATATGTATATATGTACATTAATATTTAAAAATTTCAAAAATTGTACGTAACTAATTTTAAGACTCCACTGAATAGAAAAATAGGACAACAAATAAAAGTAGATAACAAAATATATTTTTTTGTTAAAAGATATTAGAAAACCAGTACATTATTTTACTATGCCCAAGTACTTTTTTTTTGACAAACTGTATAAATATTATTACAGGAAGTCAAAACATCAATGTTATCAACATATCAATGTTATATTTATATTATAATTTCGCTTCAACAAAATTATTTTATTGTCAGTCTGATAGCATTTAGGGTTCCCTTAGTAGAAATATATATATATATAATGTTAAAATAATAGTACTGTCTGCTCATACTCATAACTCAATATTTTTATAGTAATTTACTCTTCGATTTATTTTCTCACACCTCATTTATATAAGTTTATTACGAATTGTTGAGTAAATTAATATAATAATATCAAATTTGCTTATTGGAAATCATTCTATAAAATATGACTCATTTGGTGCGTGGCAAATGCAATGAAAATCGGAAATTTACAATATATACACAATTAGACATTAAAATAAGTGTAAAGACAACTTGTCAATTAAAAAAATATATATATATATTATATATATATAATATATATATATATATATATATATATATATATCCAAAATGCTGATTTGATTTCTTATTGAAAATAAGAAGTTTCTGGTTTAAGAATTCTTTTTTAAAGGAAAAGATAACATTCACTCATTGAAAAAGGAACAATTTAAATATTTCCATTGTAATAACATCTTATTTGATATGTTATTAACTTATATTAAATAAACATCACTACCCGACTGAGTATTCTATACACTTGTGCAAAAGCTCAGACATCAAGGAAAAAATTAATAATTCATAGCCACATCAATTGGACGATCTACGACTTTTTTTTAATGCTCTTAACTAAAATAAAAAGACATTGAAAGTAGTGTTGGATTTTAAAAAAATTCATCAGCAACCATTATTAAAACAGTGTTTTTGGCTAAAAGTTATCCTTTGAGTATAATAATAATTTAATTTAATAATGTATTTATTATTTTTTATAATGTCGACTAATATCAGTCGACACAGAAAAAATTACAATGATTTGTATTTTAAGCTTTATTGAAGGCAATCATGACAAGCCACTTTTATGAAAATTCCTATGTATGTATTTAACAAATTGGCATGGTTCTAGTTGAGGGGGATTTGTTGGACTGTGATCGACAGCAGATACCCTAAGAACACATCAATATACCCCAACCTACTTCAGTTTACAATGTATATTGTAGATTTAAAGTACATAATTGCATTTTTTTTTAAATTAAATATTTCGTATTAAACGCAAATAAATTGCTCAAATAATTTGAATTTGACTAATAAAACAATTTAGTTTCTATATTTTTTTTTTGAGAATGTTGTGTATTTCAAATAACTAATAACTTTTTTCTTTTTTTATTTTCAAATATTTTGTTGTGTTTACAAATAAACTTCACAGATAATTAGCAATTACTTAATTAAAATTTTCTTTTTAAATACACAGAGTGTATAATCGAGGTTAAATCAATCGACGAGTCGTCAGTTTTACAGCTAGGACAAAAGTCACCTTAAAGGTCGATACATAATCACACAATTAACAGAAATATCCGTTCCAAACCACAATTTATTATTAAGTATTATTATGTTTTCCCCGCATTGTAACTAACACTTTTTTATCCTGAATGTGGGAGAATTATGGAGGTTCTTTTTGGTTTAACGTAACATAAAAATTATTAACATCTTGGGAAAACAACAAACCAATTGTCAGACAAGGATTCATCTTTATACAGATCTTTCAATAATATCTAAGCCGGCAATTAAAAATACGAATATCAGCAAAATTCAAGTACATTATCTGAATTATTTATTTTATTTTATTATTTTCATGGGCCTTTCGTAAAGGGACTTAGTATTTTAAGAGTGGACAGTTGGATCTTCCAACTTATATTCAAGATGGTCGCAATTGAATGGCATCTAAAAAGTGAACGACTTGTTTTCAGTAAAAAAATATGTAGGAATTCCAAGAAGTTTTCTTCAAATGTGTTCCGTTTAATTCAAACTAGCATTAAAATTCGTCTTCTATTCAATGTGTATTTAATATAGTAAGTAATTAAGAAAGAAGAAGTTAAGGTTCGCAAATTAAAAATTACTGTTTTTGTTGTGTGTGTGCCCGTAAATGTATTTCACACATTTATTTATTATTTGTTATAATTTTTATTTATTACTATGATGCATTCAAATAGTATTTAATACATTAGCTAACTTATGTGGAATATATAATAAATTGAAATTAGATTTTTTTAAATAGGTTTCTTAATATTTATGTTTAAATTTTGCAACACTGAGATACTAGTTAGCATTGAAAGACACAGACGGACAGACAGATGGAAATGGCTATAATCACTCGGCCTTTGATGTTGGCCAAGAATATTTACGTATCTTAATATGATTCAAAACTTAAATAATATATCAACAATGGAATACAATTGTTTTTATTTCTTATTCCATATTTCGTTTTAAACACTAATACTTCGTAAATACCTTCACAAATAATTAAAATTTTTAATTACTTCATTGTTTCCTTCTTGTTAAATATTTTTTATTAAATACACAGAGTATAAAAGATATATTGTATATTTTTTAAATAAATAATAATATAATTTATTTTTTTAAACGAACGATGATTTAATGAATGATTAATATATATACAGTAATGATGAAGCTTAGCTGAAACTTACCGATTTTGAATGAGTTATTGTCCCCAGCGGATTTCTGGTTGCGCTTTAATCTCATCAGACCAGCTGGCAAATATATCCTCCGGCCAGATATATCGTTACTATATATTCCCAGCTGTACAACCTGTGATGTTTTTGCCATTCACATTGCGATTTCTTTTATTTTGTTGTACGTAATTTTTTTTTTTGATAAGTTGGCTGATTAGATTCTAATTGAGTGTTGAGTTTAACGTATTATTGTTGTTATTTAGTTATTTTTTTTTTGTTTTGTACTGTTTTTAATGCTTAATATTATAGGAACTTTGAATCGAGCGTGTAGCGTGACGAGTTCAAATTGGATTGCACCTGAAAGGATGTTCAAGAAATATCCATATATATATATATAAGTATGAGTGTGCCTTTCATTTGTATGCAAAAAAAAAAAAAAAAAAAACCTGAAACAGAACAGAGATAGACTTCTTGCATCAGATCCTGGAACTAACTGAAGGGTTGAGGGGTGTGGTGAAGGAGCGGGGGTGCTTGAGATCGAGACATCAACGAAAGCGAAACCGAAATTGAGCGCAGAACGCGGAGCGAGAAAAAGGACACAAAAAAAGCAGAACAAGAGTAGAGGGTGGAGGTGAGTTGAGGGGTGAGGTGAGTTGAGGGGTGACGTGAGTTGGGGGTGTGCTGATTTGTAGGGTGAGTTGAGTTCAGAGTGAGCATGTATTTGGCGCGTCTAGTGACAGGTGACCTGTGGAACCCGTCAAAAGTTACGGTCAATTTATACGAACCCCAAAAAAAAGGAAGAGGATCGAGAAGGAAACATGCCATTCACCGTATTTTCACATTAGATAGCGGCGAGTGTCTTATAAATTACACAAAACACACACACACACACATATATATATATATATATATATATATATATATATACTCACTCACTCACTCGCCAGCGCAATCAATAGTCAAATACATATATATCATAATATATATAATTATGATGTATAATATACATACAGAAAAAAAATATTTATAAAATCAGGAATCTTATAAAAATTTCTTAATTTTTTTGTATAAAACATAATTTTTTTGCAGTGTGCAAAATGTATATGTACAAAAAAATAAATAAAAATGTAATTATATATATCTATTTTTTGTTTGTATGTAAATAAATGCAATATACATGGGCAAAAAAGCTATACAATAATTATGATGTATTTATGCAAGTATGTAAATGTAATACGGCAAATGTATACATAATTATGAAATATCCTTAATGTTTGCAACAAAAAAAAAAAACACACATGAATTTATATGTATATGCATAAGGATTGTTGAGGTGTGTTCATATGTACATATATTAAACATAATACATACATGTATATATGCATATATATATGTACAGGCGGGAAAGAAAGAGCAAAAGAGAGAGAGAGAGAGAGAGAGAGAGAGAGAGAAAGAAAGAGAGAGTTAGAGAGATTGTGCAATTCTCTCGGCAATTTAATTTGCCAGCTTCTGCTTTTTGCATTTTTAATATCAACACTTTTACTCCCACTTGGCTGACTCGACTGAGCCAGTTGTCTCTTTTTCATGCACACAATCGCATATACATATCTATATACACATGCATGTATATATCTATATATGTATACACATGTATACATATATATATGTTAACTTTTTTGCATATATACTTTTCTTATGGACCACGTGCCTCATTATTTGTGTTGAGAGCACAACGACTTTGATGCTCTCTCCCTCTCTCTCTCTCACCCCTTTTTTATGCGCATCATCCACCTCCCTCACACACAGTCGCAATAATCACTCCTTTACTCCTTCACTCGTTTTTTTAACGCTGCCTTTTTATTCCCAGTATGCACAACGGTATTTTCACGTACGTGTGTATGATGGATGATGTATGTGTGTGTGTGTGTGCATAATATTCTCCAGTTTGGAATGCGATTAACAAATTTGCCCAAAGCCTCATTATATTATTTTTTTTCCTATTTATTTATGCCAACTATTTTATTTTAATTTTTATTTAACTGTTATAATAGGAAATATTTGTTTTGTCTGTTTTCTGTATTCAATCGCATATGCACTTTTAGCAGCCTATGTACAAATATATATTTATATATATGTATTTATGCATGTAAGCAATAATTAAACAGTTATGTGGTTGAGACATAACGTAACGCTAATGCTCAACGTTCGTTAATGTAATTTTAACAGTTTGATTTGAAATGTTAAATGCACTGATAATCCGCACATATGAATTGAATGAATATAAAATTCAATCTTAACATTTTTGGAAGCTGATTTGTTATGTTTTTAAGGCTTATGTAAATTATACAAGAACATTGTGCATAATTTCTGTTTTGTTTTTTTTTAGCATTACTTTTTAAGTGTTGTTTTTGTATATGTATGCATGTATTTATGTACATGCCACGATTTTAAGTAGAAACGATGACTTGTCACATCATCATACGCTTTTCCTTCGTACTTCACATTAATAGCGCTGTGTCTATATTTCAGTTCAATAATAAAGAACCACATTAATTTCAGTGATTTACCAATCGTCAGGTGCTAATTATGTATGCATACATTAATTTAGTATAGCCCCAGCAAATTTGTTACAATTTTGTTGAAATTCAAAAACAAAACTTTGAAATTGTATCAACTAGAAAGCAAAAATATAACATTTTATTTTTAGTTTAATTTTTGCAATAAAAAATAATTATTTAAGTTCTCAAGTGTTAAATATATACAGCCCTTATTGTTATTAACCACAATAAATTTCTTATGCTTTTGTTAATTTTGTTGAAGTTTTAACAAGATGCAAAATGATTACAATTTATTTTTGATTTAATCATAAATTAATTAATTAATAATTAAAAATTAATTAATAAAAAAGACATTAGTTTTAGTGATTTACAATCATTATTATCACCAGAAGTTGAAATTTGTATTTAATAAATAAATAAATTAAATAAATAAATCGATATTCGGCAAAATCGTGTTGTATTTGCAGATTTTCTTAGACATGTCTAATAAAGATTATTTAAAAAAAAAAACACTAAGAGATTCCGATGAGATACAATAAAATCACTTTATTAAAATGTCGTTATTATGTACTTTAAATATTAAGATTATAAATATTATATTAAGCTTGTAAATATTTTTCAATAATCAATTATATGATTAACATCTTTTTCAATTCGAGCAATCAGTATATATTTGCAGCCGAATCGATTAATCGATGGCCGTCATTAATAATTAAAAATTGAATGGTTTTTCTGAAATCGCAATAATTATTAGGTATATGTAATAATGCACTTGATTAAGATTTAAATGAACTTATTAATTCAAGTTAATAACTTAAAAATGTTGACTTAATATTTTACTGAGAATATATGAAATTCAAATATGATTATTTTAAAACATTTTAAACTATAGCGAAGATACAGGTATCAGCCCCAGATTGACATTGAAGCTAAAATCGTCAGTATTACATAAAGAACGATGCAACCTTCAAATTAATTTCATATTTTATAGAGGGTATAAATTATATATTCTTGGTCAGCATTATGAGCCAAGTCGATTTTTAACGTTTCGATTTTTATTGGCTTACATGGGAAGAACTTCCTCTTTTTTAAAACAATAAAATAAATGAACTTTGTAAAAATCAGACTGTTTACTTCAATCATTTATAATTTTAATATATTTGCATTTATATTTAACAATTTTTTGGTCGGATTGAGATAGGCATTGACATACTTACAAGGAACATTTAGTTGAAAGGCAGTCGTCAACACAAAAATTTTAAATCGAATTTGTTGAAAACGAAAAGATTCAAATATTTTAAATTTAAAATAAAACTTAATATTTAAATTCAAATTATGAAATTAGAAATTGTTCAACAAATTTGAAAAATGCAGTGCCTTACTGGCTACACGCTCGATAGATTGAATGAAATAATTGATTTGCGTTTACTTCGTACAAATTCGGTATCAAAAAGGTTATTCAAGTTCTTGGTCAAAGAAATTTGATGACCCTTGGTTAGGTGCTGGTAAGCAAGAGGAGAAACAGGCCCCTTGAGCCATGCTTGGCTTGACTGCTTATGCAACCGCATTGGATTTATCGAAGTAACGTGCCATGGCTAGTTTCCTAGTTTAGGTTTCGGAGAGGAATGAAGACAATGGATGGGCAGTGACAAGTGCTGGACCATTTTCTCCTATTCTTCATCAAGCAGACTTGTACAGTAGCCGTTATGCGGTATGGATAGCCTACACTCAGAAAGAAAGCGCTCTGAAGTTTTGTAATTCGCAATACTTTTTGCGCCAAAAGTTCCTCACGTTGTTATTCAAAAAGTAAATATCAAAAATGGCAGTTGGTGAGATTTTTAAAAATATATATAATTTCCAAGAAGAATTGTTTGTACTGGTTTTTTGTTATTTATATTTTATTATTAAACTATTGGTATGAGAATTCTTACATTACAAAGGCTATAAATTTAATATAAATCAATTTGAAAAAAATAACGATTTTACGGGGAGTATTTGAATACTCGGCATTTTAGACATATAAACAATAGATAAACTCTATATAAAAGGATTTTTTCTACAAACAAGTATTTGCAATTATACTTTATACAAATATTTTCTATTATTAATAAGGATTTATATAAAAAATGTTCATTTTTCATTAGCAAAATATAATTGAGATTGCAGATTTAGGGCAAGTTTTTCAAAAAGAAATATTTTTTTATTTTTTGAAATTTTTTCTAAAATCAAGAAAAACTTTCTAGTTTCTAAAGCGATTTTCTAAATTTCATTGCCTTGACTAGCTAAGTCAATAATAATAATAAATTCCGGAACCCAATTGGGTCGTTATCAACCTAGCAAAACAGCAAACAGGTCAGGTTTCGTTAAGAGATCTGCGACAATTGTTTGATGTGGGACCGTGTGAAATTAACGCTGAGAAAATGCAGACTTATTTGACCAAGATTATCTATACTCTTGGGTACGCTCTGTCATGTCGGATTGGAATCAGTGGAAAAGTAATTCTTATTATTTACTCTTTACCACTATGACTGGCTTGAATTACCTCCGATTGACTGTTCGTAACTAATTAATCGTCGTATTATGATAGGTGTAGTGCTTGGAGTTAAATTCAAAATGGTGAAATAAATTCATCTGTTTCGTTTTCCCTGGTTCCTCTAAACTACTATACTCATTGCTAATTATTCTTAGCAAGAACCTATACAAGGTCTCTTTAATTATTACGTAGGCTTTTCCATGTAATCAATTCAG